AATCGTTTTTGCTACAACCTAGTGGATACAGACGTTCTACGGACGTCTATACAAAGTCTTTTAGACGTCACAAGTCTACAATAATATTAATTGTTTCTTTATTTTATAACTATAATTGTTTAGTGCTTCAGGCGTACTTAATAGTTATGATAAAAAGCACGTAAAAACATTGATAAAGTAGCGATTCTCGAAAAAAAATCTTTATAGGTTTTAATGTGCCACCTCTAACACTTGTTACTCCTATTCATTGTGGAACAATCCAGATTATACTTAAAAAAGAAGAGGACAATTTTTAGTTTTTTTTTTCATTTCAGTGAACCCAGAACATCTAGGAAAGAGGGGGGGAGGGCGATTTTTGACAGACTATCCTGTAAAATAAGGGGGAGGGGGTATGCGGTTTTCATTAATAATGATTTGTGAGGAGACAAAACCACTAACCATACAACTTTTTTAGTTAAATTTTAAAGAATATTAGTCTTATACTTTTGCACCACGCAATTTTACTAAAATACCTTTTCACAATTAAACAGCCTCACTAATTTACTTTTTTAAACAACAGAAAGTTTTAAAAATCAATTTTTTTAAGGGCATCTTCAAATATTAGTTTGGAGGAATTAAATACATTTTCATTAGAGGAGTTTTGGTTTACCCTGTTATTAATTGAAATCGGGATTTGTTTTAGAATTTGTGGTGGATGATTTGAGTTAATATTAATATACAATAATTCATCGTTTGGTTTTTTAAAAGGCTTATATGAATTTTCAGAGAGGTTAAATGTGACATCAAGAAAGTTCAAGTAAAGAAACAATCGGTATAATAAAACATTGTAGAAAAACCTTATTTTACTTTAATAAGGAAATTTAGAAAAAAAAAAACATAGATGACTGCTTTGATGTGACAATGGGCAGTTATGACAGAGCAGAAATTTGTGAGTTTGTTGGACTATACATTTTAGATATATTAAGTAAAATAATCAGTATAAATGATTTAGGCCTTTATCGCGACGATGGTTTAATAGTAATGCGTAAAAAATCTGGTCCACAGCTCGATAAGATTCGAAAAAATATTATAAAAATTTTAAAAAATATTGACTTTCAAATTGAAATAAACATAAATTTAAAAATTGTGAACTTTCTTGATGTCACATTTAACCTCTCGGAAAATTCATATAAGCCTTTCAAAAAACCAAACGATGAATTATTGTATATTAATATTAACTCAAATCATCCACCCCAAATTCTAAAACAAATCCCGATTTCAATTAATAACAGGTTAAACCAAAACTCCTCTAATGAAAATGCATTTGATTCCTCCAAACGAATATTTGAAGATGCCCTTAAAAAAAGTGATTTTGAAAATTTTGAACTAAAATTTGACCCTAAAAAAAAGAATGAAAAAAAACGGAATAGAACTAGAAATGTAATTTGGTTCAACCCCCCATATAGCAAAAATGTTTCCACTAACATAGGAAAATTGTTTTTAAAATTAATTGATAAGCATTTCCCTCCCTCTAATAAATTACATAAAATTTTTAATCGAAATACGATTAAAGTTAGCTACAGTTGCACAAAAAATATAGAAAGAAATATAAAAAGTCACAATAATGCTTTGTTAAATAAAAAAGAAATCCTCAATAAAAAAACTAAAGAAAATTGTAATTGTAAACAAAAAAACAACTGTCCAATGAGTGGAAGTTGTTTATCAAAAAATGTGGTATATAAATGTGTTGTTTCCTCTATGAATGTACCCGATAAACAGTATATTGGCATAACAGAGGGTGAATGGAAAAATATTGATGATTTTATACTGAGTTGGTCCATCCTAAAAACAGCGCCTGCATACAACAATATTTCCAAAAAATGTATACTACGTCTACAAGAAAAATCTCAAATAATTACACATGCAAACCAAGAATGTTTGTTAAACAAAAAATCGGAATTGATTTCTAATATTTTTATAAAAAAAGCATAAGTATATATATATATATATATATATATATATATATATATATATATATATATATATATATATATATATATATATATATATATATATATATATATATATATATATATATCGATGGCATAATACACAGATATGGTAAGTACAAATTTATATCGGTAGAAATATATAAAATATATTATATCAAATATATATCGGTAGAATAGCTAATATGTAACTCTACATATGTAGGTCCGCCACGTGTCTGAAACCGGGTCTGTTTACAAAAAAAGTTTCTTTTCAAAGATATTTTTTAAATTAATTTTTTTTAGCATGAAAAAAAGAGAATAAAAATGTTTGAATTTACTATGCAAACATTTGTTTCATTTGTTGCACTGATGGAGTGAAGAATGGTTACTCATACTTTTGAATTTATTCACGATGCAAACATTTGTTTTATTTACAGTTGCACTGATGAAGTGTAGAATGGTTACCCATACTTTTGAATTTATTCACGATGCAAGACATTTGTTTCATTTACAGTTGCACTGATGGAGCGTAGAATGGTTACCCATACTTTTGAATTTATTCACAAAGCAAACATATTTGTTTCATTTGTGGCACTGATGGAGTGTAGAATGATTACCCATACTTTTAAATTTTTTTGAGAAATGCACTAAGCATTCCAAAATACAAATATTTCTACCAAATTAGATATGTATTAGTCTACTTTGTGTAAAGAAGTTTGTAATGGAAAAAAGTTTTCGAGAAAAAAAAAATCAGCAAATTTTACTTACAACGAAATTGTTTGGAATTATACGTTTTATTAATTTTAATAATTTGATGTACCTGAATTAAAAGGTTAAAAGTTTATTACTCTAGTGTATTAATGTCGAGACAACAGCAATTTGTCAATATGATAGTTGTCAATACAATCCAAGTTAATGAAATTAATTCTTAATTAATGTAACAACATTAATTAAGATTAAACAATGTTAAGTTGAGATCTCTAAAAGTAACTCAACCGACATAATTATTGAAAGTATACCATTAATTTTCTACAAAGTTCAGATTGCATTCAATCAATTCGTTAAGATTTTTGTTTACTAAGGAGTACAGCTTTTTATTATTATTTTTAGTTTAATTTCAACATTGCAATTAAAATTGTTTTGTTTTTTTTAGCAGATAAACAAAAAAAAATTAGTTCAGTTTTATTTTCGAATTTAGACAAACTATATATTTAACTTTTAAATCCTTCATACTTTTACCTTTTTTTTAATTTGTTGAAATGCAAATGATTTTGTCAGCAAACTTCTGAAAAAAAAGTCAGCTGGATTGATTAAATTATAAACATATATTAAAAATAAAAGAATCAAGAACAGGACCTTGAAGTACACCGTTCAAAACAGATTTATTACAAGAATTATGACCATTAATACTTTCAAACTGTTTCCAATCTTTAAAACATGATCAAAACCTGTCACTTACAACACCCCGAAGGTTATAATAATCTAATTAAGAAGCCAAAATTTTATAGTCAACGGTAACAAAAAATTTTATAAATCAATAAAAACATTTAAAACAAAATGACATAAGAGCTATTATAGATTATTTCAGTTAAACTTCATTTTTGAAGATTTTTTTGTATACTTTTCAGTTATACATATCAATGCAAGTTTTAATCAAAAACAAAGCTGAAATTTAAACAATGGAAAGAATATAAAAAATCAAAGAGTAAACTATGAACTTACTTGCACTCTGAACTTTCTTTACAGAGTAAACTCTGAACTTACTTGCACTAAATATCGACCTTTTTTAATAATTAGTTTTAATTTATAAGTAGTCTATAGTTCACTTTCCCTCCCTATATTTTTGTAAACGTAAATAATTATTTATAGTGTAAATACAGTTTTTTTTTTTCTGTAATATTGAAGATAGCTAAGGGTAATATCAAAGATATTTAATAATAAATAGAAAAATCAAGTCTTATCATTAAGAATCGCTCGTAAAATGTAAAAGAAATTCTATTTTTTTAAACCATTTTATGTGCAGTAATTCTATTTCTTTAAACCATTTTATGTATTTTTTTAAACCATTTTATGTGAAGGTGATCTTCAAGGTTCTGTTTTTGGTAATTTTTTGTTTTTAATACATGTTAAATATCTAAACAACTATCTTTCCTATTCGCCAGTTTAACTTTTTCCATTTTTAACAGTTATAAAAAGTTAACTCTATAATAATAATAATAATAATCATAATAATAGTAATAACAATAATAATAATAATAATAAAAATAATAATAAAAATAATAATAAGTTCATAGTAATTTTCAAACACTAACTGAATATACATACACAGTAGGAAAAAATTACAAACAGTTGTGACAAAACGTGACAACCTACCTGAGATTAAAACTGTTATATAAATAAGGTAAAAGAATAAAAATAACAAAAATAAAAATGGTTTCATAAATATAGTTGTTTTATCTATAATGATAATAAAAACATTCTAAATAATATGTTCACAAATATATCATTAAAAAAAAAAAAAAAATAAAAAAAAAAAAAAAAAATAGAAAAATTGATATACTTCTAAATACATTGCAGAAAAAGGAAAAAAAAAAGAAAAAGAGTTGTTCTTACATTTTAAATAATGTTTGACCCACAAAATAAAGGGAACAAAAGTTAAGATTTACAGATAAAAGCCAACAACACTCGCATGTAAAAACACACATGCATATATTTTCTTTTTTTTTTTCAATGTTATTTACCTCCCCAAAGTTGAAGGAGGCACTTCAGTCAAAGAGGCTTTTGTTGTGGTTACAACCCTTCTTAACTCTTTAACTTTAAAACAGGAACCTTTACAAACAAGGCCGTTGCTGTGTCAAATTGCCTAAGAATCCAATTATCTCCGGTTCGCCTTTTTGCGAAAACCAGAAGATTTAGAACAATCAAGTTCAAATATTCAGGTGCAAATTTTTTACATTCCTTGGTAATAATGTTGTATACGCATGATTGATTAATTAACTTAAGAAGTTTAAATACAGCAGAAAATTTTTATTTCTTTGAAAAAAACAACAACAACAAAATTGTTATATTTTCAGGTGCACTCTGTTACCAGGTAATTTTATTTAAAACTGTAAATAACTTTTAGTACGTTTAATTTTACGTCAATTTTAACATTTTTAGATTTTTCAAATTAAAAAAAAAAAATTTTATAAATTTTTTGAAATAAAAGAAATTATGAACTTTTTAAAAATTACATAAAACTTAAATAAAATAACCATTACTCTAAAGAACGCTAAAAAGTAATATAAACCAAAGGCGATTTAAGGAGAGGTGTGTGTGGGGTGTTCCAGTCCACCAAAGAAAGTAATTTTTAAGTTGGTTTATTTGACAAATTTACTCAGCTAATCGGGTATTTGACACAATTCAGTTGAGTGAACTTTTGTATTGAGGCCCTGTTTTTTTTTGTTTTTTCTTTTTTAAAAAAAAACAAAAAACAAAAAACTGTCGGTACTTTTTAAGGATTCACCCTCACTCCCCCTTATTTTATTTGTAGAACCGCTTCCGCTTCAAAGCATTGATTTTAAAGGAATTAATAATAATCATTTATTAATACAACTATTACATTAGTCAATTATTAAATTAGTCAAATATTAATTTAAAAAAAGTCAGTTTATTAAAAAAAAAAAAAAAAGGTGAAAAAAATGAAAAACTTAATTCTTACTTTAAGCAGAGCAAGTAAATGGTTTAATTTACTGTATAACTTTTAAAACTGTTATATTAAATTTTGTCAAAAAGGGTAGATAATTTTCATTTCAGATTAAAAAATGGTAAAAAATTATTTACTTTTTCTGATCTGAAATTATCTGCAACTTGCAAATATTATATTGCTTCTCCTCAGTGTTGTTTGTAATTCAGTGTTAATTTATTTTTAGTGTTATATTATATTAGTGTAAATAATTCGTTAATATAACTAATTCAGTATAAATTTATATTGCAAGTAAATATAAATCTTAATGAACATATAAATTGTAAGATTGTTTACATTTTTTCTAATATAAAGAATACAGAAACTCGTAGAAGACCGCTAGGTATTGTAATCGACAACCGCTAGAACGTTAAATATAAGTAAAACATCAAGATAAAACATTATATATATATATATATATATATATATATATATATATATATATATATATATATATATATATATATATATATATATATATATATATATATACAATGTAAAAATAAAGTGGTCTAATATACAAAATGTAAAAATAAATTTTTTTTTCACTTCTTAAAATATTTTAAGAAATGAAAAAAAATTATTCAGAACTATAGAATAATAAAGTCAAAAAAATGTTTTTTATTTTTTTTCATTTAAAGTTTTTTTTCTTTATTTTTTAAGATTTTTTCATGGCTTTTCCAATATTATTGTATTTTGGGCTTTGCGTTTATTTACACTTCTTGGCTGCAATTTATATTCAGAAAGATTACGCAACAAATACCTGCATACGAAATCACACAACTCTAGAGCTTCTACTAGCTTCAAGCTTAAAATATGCTTTTTTGAGTAATCCTCCTGTGTGCGAATGTATATTTATTTTTATGTTTTTTATTTTTTAAATAATTGAATAATGCTAAAATTTTCTCAATATAAGTCAGTAAATTTACTTTTAGCCAACGATACAATGCCGGTGTCCAACAGTGTAGCCACTGTTAAAAAATCTTTTAAAAAGGTAATCTTTATGTACTTTGTATGTTCGCTGAAACTAATTTTTCAAAGAAATTTTTGCAATAAATCAAAATAGTAAAACTAACAATATTGTATATTGTGTGTAGGGTGTTTTGTTTATAGGATGATTAACAAAACACAGACCACTAACAAAACTAACAGACATTAAATAATATACATTAAATAAGGCAACAGACATAAGTGGCCTACTAATAAAATATATTTAAAAACAATATTAGATACGTTGATGAGCAAAATTCTTACTAAATTAAGTTTTTAGTAAAAATTTGTAAAATGTTTTAAATAAGCATACAAATCATTTTTATTAATTTTTATTTAAATTAAAAAAAATAAATAAACTATTTTGTTTTGTGGTTCAGTTTGATAAAAGTTAACGAGGTTTTTTAAGTGTATAGGTTACGAGGTTGTTTAAGTGTATAGATAATATATACTATCTCATAAATTGCAGGGTTTTTTGAATTTATCCTGTTTACACAACCTAATACAGAAGCTAGTTACGCATTTCAAATAAAAATTGACAACTGTTTTTTTTATTTTAAATATGAATTTATCTCTAAAAATAATGTTTGTTAAAAAAAATTAGAAAAAGTGATTTAACCCAGTAACGGGATATCGATCACTTTTTTAGTATGTCGTTAAAATTATTTATTCAGAGTAAATTGCCTAATGTTTGTTAAGTAGTTTTCGTTATCAAAAATTAAGTCAAAGTTTTTGCAGTTTTGTAATAACAACTTGCATATCAAATAAATCAAATATCGATTTTCAAGAGTTCCCTTGGTTTACAGTATTTTTTGGGATCAGTCAAGTCTATAAACAGTTGATGTAGCACAACCTTTGGACAAGCAGTACTACATAAAACTTTTAATTATACTTTTTCCAGTTTAACTCAATCCAAAGAGGAAATAGGAAAAATCTAAAAGAAGTTCAGAAAGCTATATTTGCCTAAATGTGAAATAAAAGTAGCTTATGATGTATTACTGCATAAGTCTAAAGTAGCAGTATTGGCTAGTATATACATTTTTAATTTGAGAGACTTAATTATTTTTAGAAGGTGAAGAAAACTAAAGAAAAAATACCATTAGTTTTGTCATTTTTTAATAGTGTTTATTTCTGTATTTAAATCTACTTCAAAGTATTTATACGAGTTTACTAATATGTGTGTTAGCAATATGTTTATCAAAATTGAAAAAATATTAAGATAAAAATATCCTTAATTAAAAATGGGAAACCCAATAACTATTACAAAAGGATGTCCGTCAGCTGTCTAAAAGTTTTCTACATACATAAGACATTCAACAGCGACAAGTTTGCGACGTTATAGTTTAATGTTTTTATAACTGATTAAGTAACTTACCGTTTGAGTATTTTTTTTTTAAACTTTTCAATTATTTATTATAGGGTTTATTTGCACATTTTGGTATCAAAAAACGTATGTATTTTATTTTTACAATTTTTATTTTATTGAAAAGGGTTGAGTTAGCTGTGCTTTAAGGGTCAAATCATATTATTATTATTCAAAATTTGTTAATACTTGAATTTAAAAAATTTATCCATGTATGTATATAGTAAGTAAATGATCGATAATTTGGTCGTAAACGATATATTGGTCGTAATTTTTTACTGACAAAAAACATATATCATTACTACCAACTTTTACGCTAAAAAAAAAAAAAATTTTTAAGTTGAAATTTTAAATTGAATGAATAAATGAATATTTTTCGAAAATTTTTTACTATTAATTCTTTATGATACATTTATTCATTAAGTTTATTATTTTTACAAAAGTTGTAAAAATAATAAACTTTTTTTTATTATTATTTTATTTATTTAACACCCAATTTACAAGGTAAAAAGAAAAAAATAAGAAAGTTATTTCGGATGACTTTGCTTAAAAACGTTTTCTTCCAGAATTTGCTTGAAAACTCCTCTTTGCTCTTTTGCATTCCAGCACTCTATTGCATACTTCAAGTTTCGTTCAACTTCGGAAGGAATTTTACTTTTAGAAAGTGGTATTTTTACCTTCTTTTTATTTTGAATTAGGTTTTGAAAATTTAATATCTGAAGATGGCATAGTTCCTGAATATCACTAACAAACGAATGTTGAAATAACGGGTGTTGCAGTTGTGAAAAGATAATGTCTGCAGTTGTTTTGTTATTAAGAAGTCGAAGGAACAAGTTTAACTTATTTTGTTGAACACTTTTTGAAATTTCCTGGATTTTAAATAACGAATTCATATAGTTTTTACTATGTTTTGAAACATTTAAAAACGATTTTAGCGCACTCCTTCCAATTGTATCTAGCTTTTTCATCAGACCAGGATTATTTTCACATAGCTCCATACCATAAGTTAAGGTGGGGACTGCCAATGATTTATATATATAGGAAATAGAACTGGGGTGAGCAAACCGGATTCCAGATTGAATAAGAATTTGAACAACAGCTCTAAAGTTTGATATTTTTTCATCAACATTTGAATAACCGAGTGAAGCAAAAACTGAATGTTTAGTATCCCATGTGAATCCCAGATGTCTAAGTTTATTCTGAAGATTTTTTTTATTACCAGAAATTGTTATTGTATTAGTTTGTATTTGGGCTTTACCTGAGATCAAGAACTCAGTCTTTTCGGCATTCAGTTTAATACAATTTAGATTACTGTAAATATTGCATGTTTTTATAAGCTTTTTGAGACCAGATAAGGTAGAGCTTAAAAGTATTATATCATCCGCATAGGCTACCACACCAGTAAAGTTACCGTTTATAGATGTGCCAACAATACCCTGATTTTTAATAGTTTCGAGAAGACTTTCAGTGTAAATATTATAGAGGTGAGGCGAAAGAATTGATCCTTGTCTTACTCCTTGGTTTAGAGGAAAAGAGTTTGATTTACAACCTTGATATGAGACTGTTGCGCTACTATTGTTATACAACGAGGAGTTAGTGTTAACTATACATAGTGTTAATTTTTTATCGAAATATAATTTTTCAAATAGGATATTCCAGTTACAGCTATCGAAAGCTTTTTCTGCATCTAAAGAACATAGATACACAGGGGAATGGTTGCTGTTGTAATGTTTAATTGTTTCGCTTATTAGAAATTCAGCATGTAGCGTTGAAGAGTTAGCATTGAATCCAAATTGTAGGGAGTGAGTATCTCTAATATCCGGACATATAATTAAGATCAGGTATTCTAGAACCTTTGTAAAAATTGGTATAATACTAATACCACGATAGTTGCTTGGGCTATCTAAAGACTTTTTGTACGATTTTATTTTTTCTTTTTTTTTTTTTCATTTTTTCCAATTGCATAACTTTTTATACCAATTATGTTTCATTGGTGCATACATAGAAATGTTTTTAATACACAAGGAAATTCTTATGTGGCTGTTATGATACTGTTTGAATCAACTCCATTTTAATATCTGGTTTTTACAACAAAGATGTCTCGAAGGAGTCTTTCCTCTTTTACTTTTACTGTACTTAGATGAAAAGAAAAAAATAATAATTTGAGTGCAAGAAATCTTATGACATTCTGCAACCATTCTTTCAAAAGCTTAATTTTTTTGAATTTCCTCATTTCAACCCCAATTTTTCAATCGTATGAACGTATTAATTTAATTCCTTAGAAGATTTTTAATGAAAGAAACGAAAGAACTCACCCTTAAGTTTTTTAAGAGTCTGAGTTGGAGTAAAGGTCAGCCCCTATTCCAATTGCTTGGCAGATAGAGTAGGTACAGCTACGTTTACAATGGGTTTTTGGACTTTGTCTAAAAAAAAAGAGCATCATTAGAAGAACCAGCTTTAATATTACAACAGTATTCTTACAAGGACAAATAAGAGATTAAAATTCACTAACCTTTGCATACCTAATTTTATTAAAAAAGTGAGATCAGATTCAAGATTGCCTACTTTTTCTAAGCAATCGAAAAGAGAATACTTTTTATCAAGACAACTGTATAAACTTGAGTCATCAGTAAATAGAGGCAAATAGAGATGTAAGGTTTTCAGGAAAATTCCTAATATAGATAAGAAACAAAACATAACTAAGTCTTGAATTTCGAGGATGACTTTTTTTTAAATCATTTCTTTCTAACCATAAAATGGTTTGAAAGAAATGATTTGAAATTTTTTTTTTTTTCTTTTTTTTTTTTTTGTTCTTTAATTTTACAACTTTGTGATTTAATAAATATTCGTTAACAATGTATATATATATACATGATCGTTATTAAGAAATAAAAGAACGCGGGAACTCGTAGAAGACCGTAAGGTCTTGTCGTCGAGAACCGCTAAAAAGTTTTCGTGTTAATATTTCGTGTTAATAAAATATTCTCAAAATAAATAAACTTTCAATAGGAATATATACTTAACATACTTGAAGATAACAAATAATTAAGAATTAAGAATTGAAAACATAAACAAATTTAAAGAAAAAAAGAAAAAGAAAAACGGTTCCGTTATAAATACATAGATGCGTTATACAGTTTTAAGATATCTTTAGCACAATTGTTAAACTTTTTGTTAAAGGTTTTGTTATACAGTTTTAAGATACCTTTAACAAAAGTGTTAAACAACTATTTACAAATTGTTAAATTATAAAATTTATTAATGCAGTGTTAAATATAAAGTTAAAAAAAGAAACAAAAAATTAAAAGAATATAGATATATCATCTAATAAAAAAATGACTTTTTTAAGTTTTTGTTTGAAAGAGTGACAGCTAACTTCTTGAGAAAAGTCAAAATTCCTTAAAACTATTTTATTCCAAAGTAATGCTCCTCGAAATGAAATACAGTATTTTCCAGAATTAGTTTGATAAGCTGATTGACGAATATTATTATCATTTCGTAAAATGTACTTAGTTTTTTCTTTTTTGTTATACAAATTATGAAAAGGTACAGGAGAAATATTGTTTTTACATTTAAACATAAAACATATAACGTTAAAAATATTAAGCTCATATATATTTAAGACTTTCTTTTCAATTAATAGAGGCTTGGCATGAGTAAATCGATCCTTAAAGTTAATAAGGCGTGCAACATGTTTCTGTTGACGATAAAGAGGTTCCAGTTTACTTTTATTAGTACTACCCCACGCAATGTTCGCATAGTTAATGTGGCAATGAATGAGCGAATAATATAGTTTAATTAATGTATGTTTATTTAAAAAACACCTTGCTTTGTACAAAATTCCTATGCTTTTTGATATTTTACTACTCAAATTTTTTATGTGACTTTTCCATGACAACTTTTCATCAATATAAATACCAAGAAAGTTTGTAACTGTTACTTTTTTTAGAAGTATATTATCAATAAAAAGCAGTGGCATTTCATTTGGTATAAGATTTTTTTTGTGATTTGGATGGAAAAAAATCCATTTCGTTTTATCAATATTAAGAGTTTATTTGTCTTAAACCAATCAGAAACTCTTACTAGTTCATTATTGATATTCTGAAATAACAATGTAATATCATTATGAGATAAAAATAAATTCGTGTCATCTGCAAACATAATCGTCATTAAGTTTGAGGCTTTATGGAGCTCGTTGATGTAAATAAGAAAAAGAAGAGGCCCTAATATTGATCCCTGAGGAACTCCACTGGTTATATCAAGCAAGTTTACTGGTGAAACTACATCAACGTATACAAATTGCTTTCGATTATTTAAATAGCTTTTTAACCAATTTAAAACACTTCCGTTTATACCGTAAATCTTTAGTTTATTTAAAAGAATATTGTGGTCTATTGTATCGAAAGCTTTAGCTAAGTCAATAAAAACCCCAACTGTATATTGGGAGATTTCAAAAGAGTTAGTAATACTTCTTGTAAACTGGAGAACTGCGTGTTCTGTCGAGTTATTTTTTTTGAATCCATATTGATTGCTATATATTAAATTGTTTACAGATAAATGATTATAAATTCTGTTGTATAAAATTCTCTCCAAGACTTTTGAAAATTTAAATTTAGCGTGACGTAATTTATCAATAACCAGAATTTATTTTTTATAAAACAATAATTTTTTTTGAAATTTATAAAGAACTTTTTTTATCTGAGACACAACAAGATATATTTTTAAAAAGCAATTTTTTGTTATAATATTGGGAACCCGTCAAACTTTCTTGTGCCATATAACCCTGAAAATATTTTTTTAAATCCAGGGCCGCCAAGAAGGGAGGGGGCGAAAGAGATAGTTTGTCCGGGGCGGCAGATACCCAAGGGGCGCCAAATAAAAAGAAGATACCTAAAAAAAAAAGTTGTTCATTTATAAATATAGATGAACAATATTTATTCATTTTTTCCACTAAATTATTTTTCACACTGCTTACTTAAATATGCATTATTATGTAAGTTAATAAAAACATACACCTTTTTAAATATACATCTACATACACTTTAACACACTCTTATGAAATATAAATCTGATATACTTACATAATA